GACATTCTAGACTTTTTCAGCATCATTCGTATTCTTCGTCTATTTAAATTAACCCGACACTCTCGTGGCCTCAAGATACTTGTACATACCTTTAAAGCCAGTGCAAAGGAACTATTTTTGCTCGTCTTCTTCCTTGTCCTGGGCATTGTCATCTTTGCATCCCTTGTTTACTATGCGGAAAGACTCCAAACCAATCCCCATAATGATTTTAAAAGTATACCCGAAGGCCTTTGGTGGGCCATTGTAACCATGACCACAGTTGGCTATGGTGATATGGTGCCCAGAACCTATGCTGGCATGATGATTGGTGCTCTGTGTGCAGTTGCCGGTGTGCTTTGCATTGCCCTTCCAGTGCCCGTTATCGTCTCCAATTTTACTATGTTTTATTCACACACTCAAGCCAGAGAGAAGCTGCCTCGTCAACGGAGACGAGTCTGTGCTTCCCCATTGGATCAAGCCTCATCAGGTACACCGGTAACGATGGGTCCACAGGGATTTAATATTGCAACTGGATCAGCATCGAGACGATTCAATGCCATCAAATATCATGGATTTGATCCTTTTGAAATAAATCTTGGTAAATGTTGTCTTTACTTGATATTTCATTCCAACAGATTCAGTAAAGCACAAAAATTAAACTCTTTTTACCTTTTATCAAATTTGGTTTTATCACTCCAAACAAATGCCTAGTTTTGTTTATTGTCATCATCAGTTTCAAGACTTTACTAAAGAAACTCTGCAAAATGAATCCAAAATTTGAAAATTATCGAATCTTTCTAAATCAATTTCTCGAAAATTTGTATTCTTTAAATTAATTCATCTGATGAAAGTCACTTTTCTTAATGTTAAGCTATTTATTAATTGTTTTACTCATCTTTTTTCATTTCCAATATCAGCCATTTTTAGATTACTTGTCAAAGTGTTAAGTAATGAAACTAGGAATGAAACTTAAATTGGATTGAATAAGTTGTCCTTGAAATTTCAATTGTCAAGACTTACCTGTTTAGGTGATGCTGTGATTACCTTTTTTCAACCTTTCAGGATTTTCCAATTCATTTGATTGAGTAAAAAATGGCAGCATTGGAAACAAGAAAATTGAAAAGTTTATTCAACTGTTTGATGAAAAGCTCAAGATTAGGTGAATTGATGGTTAAACATGATGTTTCAACCTTGAACCCAACCAAAATGATAAACAACAATTTATCATTAATTCAATTTAAGACCACACCA